AACATCAGTCTATGAATGAGCAGCAACACTGTAAAATATATTGCGATGGGAATAGTATTTTTTTAAGTTCGTTTAAACATAAAAGAATAGGCGCCATTCTGTGGAACATAGAACTGTCATCTATAAATTAAATGCAAGGGGACATGATGGCGCCTTTGCTCAGAACGTAAAATATAATCATTATTTATGGCCACTCGAATGAGGCGATCTGAACCTCACCGTAATTGAAATCCTAAAATATTTAGAAAGGATTGTGGCGGAAGGAGATTTCTCTTAGTGTACAAAAGTGGTATGTTTACGATTGCACCTGACAATTCCACTTAAATTTTTTAGGAACTGACTGGCATGTCCGCACATGAGCTGAAGAAATATCCTAGTCCTGTGACCTTCCAATCGGTGCACTCAGGCGATAAGCTCGTTGCCTTCGCCCAACATAACTCAAGCAGTGTACAAACGAAAGAAACAAGTAACAATTCTCGTGAAACTGTGTTGGAATAAATACTTGAAATTTGGGCTGTTTGGTAAAAATCATACATTACATTGCACATTATATGGAAGTATATGTATCTGGAGAGTTGACAAAACGATTATTTTGAAACGTTATTCTTCTTGTGCCGCTTTATTCACTCGGTTTTTGTATGAATGGGCTTACTCAACAATTAAAATTTAAGTTTACCTAGTATGCCCGATTTTTAACTTTTCCGAATTTGACGCATTCCTAGAAAAGCTGGTATTTCTAAACAAGGTAATATAACTTGATAAATCGTAATACGCCCTATTTTAAAGAACGACCGTTACTTTCTTGCTGTTATACTTTGGGGCCGCAGCTTGGGCTGATTTTACGTAACAGGGAGTTCCTTGTATTGCATGAGCAAGAATACTTACTGATATTCTGACCCAAAAAACTTGATCTACCGACCTGCTGGTTTTAAAAACTGTGCCTTTGGCCGTATCAATGCCTGTGGTCTTCTTGGTATCGGCCCAGTTGAAGGAGGGAAGAGTGTGATTGATGCTGCGCAAGTCCACTCACACTATAAACGAACTCACGCGCAAGTCACTGCACCTGTGGCCACACACGTGGGGCACACGATAGACAATCTTCTAAACGACGGTCGAACTGTCGCATCGGTTTTTTATTATCTGCCATGATGCGGAACCATGGCTCGCGATCTCCACGAAGAAGAACAAACGCGTAACGTCGCTATCTGCGGACCGATTCGCGCTATTAGGTGCCTCGAAAGCCTACATAATAGTGACCAACTGAACGCAAATAAACAGCCTGGCATATCGATCG